GACAGAGATGGGATAGCATAGTAAGGCCCTGTACGCAAAGGAAAAAAATCTATTAATTTTCAGGATTATAATTGTAGTGACTAGGTCTTATTAACACTTAAAACCTTTACAAATACAACTAAATGTGATTACTTATTTAGAATTAATACCTATTGTTAAATTTTCTTAAGCATGGCATGTACTCAGAATTAGCTAAATCATGTCATTACAACTGTTACAAGACTTATTCCTAACACCAGACTTCAAAATTCGATCTGGAAAGGGGAAGGAAGCATCACTCTGAAACAGCACTCAGAATCCAGAGTTCATCCATTATGTCTAAGGCAGAGGTTCTCTACCTGTGTGATGGGGAATGTTTTTCTGTACATAAGTTTCTCTCGTTGGTTAATGAATACAACACTGATTGGCTGATTGGCCAGACAGGAAGTGTCATAGCTTAGCAGAAACTTGCCACCAGCTAACCATAGAGGTCTGGAGGTCTGTACAGACAGACAGGAAGTGGTGTATCTGGGCAGAATCAGGATATAAGCAGGGACAAACAGTAAATCGCTCTCTTCTCTGCGGAGACGCTTAGCAATCACAATGTAGCAGGCAAGGGAGTAACAGTACTGGACCCTTCTCCAGTAGTATAAGCCACGTGGGCATACTTAGAATAATAGAAATGGGTTAATAATTAAGACCGAGCTAGCCAATAAGAATCCCTAGCCACTGGCCAACAGTATTATAATTAATATAAGTCTCTGTGTGTTCGTTTGGGGCAAAGTGGCTGTGGGATCAGGCTGGCGGGAAAGAGTGCTCATAAGACCTGTGGTTGCAACCCCTTTGAGGGTCACATGTTAGACGGCCTGAATATCAGATATTTACATTCTATTTTATTGATTCAACCCTCAATTTGAATATTTCTTGCCATCTTCTCCTTTTGGGTGTGATTTCTTCTTATGATCTAGAGCTTTCTGGTATGCTGTGTTAAGTTGTTAGTAGAAGATCTCTCTCTCTCTCTTTTTAATGTAGGCACTTCGTGCTACGAACTTTCCTCTTAGTACTGCTTTCATTGTGGATATGCTGTGTGTTCATTTTCACTTGACTCTAGAAAGTCTTTCATTTCTTTGTCAACTTCTGTCTTCTGTCTTGAGCCATTTTCATTCAGCAGAGAGCTGCTTGGTTTCCATGAGTTTGTAAGATTTCTGTTGTTTCTGCTGTTGTTGCTATCCAGTTTTAATTCATGGTGGCCAGATAGGATGCAGGGAGTTATTTCTCTTTTCTTGTGTTTGCTGAGGCTTGGTCCATGTCCAAGAATGTGCTGAGTCTTTGAAAAAGTCCCATAATGCAACATATACTCTTTCCTGCCAGCTGCCTGAGTCCTGCTGCTGTCTCAGCCCCCAAATAACACACGAGACACTATATTAATTATGAAGCTGTTGGCCATTTGTTATGGTTTCTTAATGGCTAGCTCTGACTTAATTATTAAACCATAATTACTAACATATATTTTTATAAGGTCTTATCTTACCAAGGATGCCAGACGTTCATCCTCTCCTCCTGGGATCACATGGCTCCTCTCACTCTTGACTGCATTTCCCAGAATCCTCCTAGACTCCTAGTTGTAGAGTGTAGTTTTCCCTGCTAGTCACCTGGGCCCTGCCGCACTGTCTGAACCCCCAAATGACACATAGGACACTATATTAATTATGAAGCTGTTGGCCATTTGCTTGGTTTCTTAACTGACTAGCTCTGACTTAAGTATTTAACCCATAATTGTTAATCTAAGTATTTCTCTTAGATGAAAAGGGTCCATGCCTCTTACTCCTCTGGCAGCCTACAGGCTGTCTGACTCTGCCACTCCTTCCCAGAATCCTCCTGGACTCCTAGTCCCACCTATCTTGCTTTCCTATTGGCCAACAGTGCTTTATTCAACAAATAAGACAGACAGATTTACAGAATGACATCTCCCATTACCTAGTCCTACCTATCTTGCTTCCCTATTGGTCAACATTGCTTTATTTATCAACCAATAGGACAAACATATACACAGAAGGACTTCCCTCACCACCATGAGGTATATAAGAAGGTGTATTCTCTTATGTTTGGGTGAAGTGTTCTATAAATTCTATTAGATACATTGGGTTTATAGCTTCATTTAGCTCCAACATCTGCTTAGTTTTAGTCTGGATGACTTGTCCATTGGTGAGAGTGGGCTATTGAAGTGTCCCATTGTCAGGGTGTGAGTGTCACTATGAGATTTAAGCCATGGTGGCACATCTTTTATGTACTTTAGATGTCCTTGGGTTTGGTGTATAGATGTTTAGAATTTCAGTGTCCTCTTGGTGGATTTTTCTTTTCTTTTCTGTGTGTGTAGCGTCCTTCATTATCTCTTCTGATTAGTTTTGGTTTGAAGGCTATTTTGTCTGATATTAAAATGGCGACATCAGTTTGCTTCTTAGGTCAATTGCTTGGGATATCTTTTCTAACCCTTTACCCTGATGTGATGTCTGTCCTCGATGTTAAGGTGGGCTTCACGTCCATTCTGTTAGCCTGTGTATTTTATTAGGGAATTCGAGAGGATGTTGAAAGATTTCAATGACCAATGGTTGTTGACTCACGCTAGTTGGTGGTGGTGGTGGTGGTGGTGGTGCACGCTTCCCTTCTTATGACTTTGCTGGTCTGGGATTGTTATCCCCCTGTGTTTTCTTGGATGTAGCTAACCCCTTTAGGTCGGAGTTTGCCTTCTAGCACCTTGTGGGGAGAGCTGGATTTGTAAGTATATATTTGCTTAAATTTGGTTTTATCATGGAATGTCTTATTGTCTCCATGAATGGAAAGCTTTGTGGGTCAGAGTAGTCAGGGCTGGCATCTGTGGTCTCTTAGTGTCTGCAGCACATCTAGGGTCTCCATTAAGAAGTAGGCTTAGTTCTAACAGGTCTGCCTTTATACGCTACTTGGTCTTTTTTTCCCTTGCAGTTTCCAATACTCTGTTCTGTACATTTAATATTTTGGTTATTATGTGTCAAGGGGACTTTCTTTTTTGGTCCAGCCTATTTGGCGTTCTGTATGCTTCTTTGTTTTTGGAGACAGGGTTTCTCTGTGTAGCCTTGGCTTTTCCTGGCACTCACTCTGTAGATCAGGCTGACCTCTAACTCACAGAGATCCTCCTGCCTCTGCCTCCCGAGTGCTGGGATTAAAGGCATGTGCCACCAACGCCGGGCATGTGTACTTTGTATACTCTGATAGACTTCTTTTAGGTCAGGAAATTTTTCTTCTACCATTTTGTTGAAGCTATTTTCTGGGCCTTTGACCTTGTTCTATTCCTATAATTCTTAGCTTTGGTCTTTTCATAGTGCCCCAGATTTCCTAGATGTTTGCCAGGGGTTTTAGATTTAACTTTTTCTTTGATCTTTGTATCTGCTGCTTCTGTCATGTCTTCCGTGTCTGAGATTCTCGCACTTCTGTGGTTGCCGTTCAGATTCCTGAAGTTTTCATTCCCAGACTTTTCCTCGGTTTGGGTTTTCTTTATTGATCCTGTTTCCACTTCCAGGTCTTGGGTGGTTTTATTCATCTCCTTCAAACATTTCTTTGTGTTTTTGCAGATTTCTTTAAGGGATTTACCCTGTTCCTCTTTAAGGGCCTCTATCATATTCATAAAGGCTGTTTGAAAGTCTTTTTCTTGTGTGTCAGCTGTGTTGGAATAGTCAAGGCCTGCTGCGGTAGGATGGCTGGGCTCTAGTGGAGACACAATTGTCCTGGCTGTCATTGATTGTGTTTTTACACTGGCATCTAGACATCTGGGTTTAGGGAGACTGGAATTCTAGGTGCTGGTATCTGGTCTTGTATTTGTTCCTTGTTTTTTGTTATTGTTTTCTCTCTCTCTCTCTCTCTCTCTCTCTCTCTCTCTCTCTCTCTCTGCTTTTTAGGAGAATGTGGCAGCTGTGTCACCTGCAGGAAAATCTTCGGGGGTCCTAATAGTTGTGGGCACGGGGGGGTGCCATCCAGGTAAAATGTGTTTCTGGGCATTAGCAGCTGACACTTAGGAATGGGCTGGGCTGGGGGTGGTGGAGAACCTTAACAAGAGGGAGGAAAGCAGGGCGTTCCACCAGGAGTGACCACAGCAAAAGGCCCACTGCAGAGCCGGGCATGAGCCCGGGGGCTTGGACTTTGAGGATCAGAGGGAGTGGTGAGGACCAGCAGTTAGTCTACTTGTTTTACTGCCCAGCGTGGCCTGTGGGTTCCCAGGGCTGCCTACTGGAGTCTGGAGGGGACCAAGAGAGGCAATGAGTTGGGGAGGGGAGCTTAGGAGGGGAACATCTGTGGGACCCTCCAGAGATGAGGCGGTGGTGAGAGGCTGCTGTAGGTGTTCTGTTCCAGAACTGGGGGATGAAACTAGGAGACTGGGCCCGGGAATGGAGGGAGAGGCGAAGGTCTACAGGGTGCCTGCCTTCTCCCCTGACGGCCAGTGCCAATGCAGGTGAGGGCTGCTCCCCTGGCTGGAGTTTTGAACATGCGATGTGGAATGGGTACCCGAACGTGAACTTCCACGGTTGAGAGGTGGCCATTGTCCATGAGCCTTAGGTCTTCGCCTATAGACGGAGAAGCGGGCAGACAGCATCGTCCCGCACAGGATTGCCAAGCTCTGCGCCTTGGCTCTTACAAGGGAATAGCACTTATTCAAACATTAGGGCCAGAGGACTTTCAAAGGCTGTTTCTATAAGATTCTTCTGGCTGGTGCCCTTCAAATGTACCCTCCCTCTCCCCCCTTTCCCGCCCACCCCGTCTGCCAAAGCTTTGCTAGGAATGCAGGAATCCGAAGGTGATTCCTGGACCAGATTTGAGACACAAGCCGTCTGGATTCCCTTGATCTGTGGCTCCCAACCACAGTCACCGGGCGGGGGTCGGGGCAGGCGGAGCTGCGGAGGAGGGGCGTGCTGCAGCCCGGGACCCTGGCCTATTACAGTATGCAAGCTCCGGGTGTCCAGGGGGCGGGCGGGAAGGAGGGAGGGCGGCGCTCAGTCAAAGGCGCATTGATGCTGCGGTCTGCAGAGCTGGGCCAGACACCAACCAGCACCAGGCTCCCCGGACCCCGCTACCTCCCGCTCCGCGCTTCGCAGCCACCGCGCGCCATGCACCCCCGAGGTCGCGCCGCCTCCCCGCAGCTGCTGCCGGGTCTCTTCCTTTTGCTGCTGCTGCTGCTGCTGCAATGGCCAGCGAAGTCCAACGCCTCCGAGAACCCCAAGGCGAAGCAAAAAGCGCCCATCCGGCAGAGGGAGGTGGTAGACCTGGTGAGTCTGGGAACGTCAGTCGGTCCTGACCTCGGTGCTGCAGAGGACCCAGCGGTGCGCGCACAGCGGTTGGTGATGCTGGCCCTCCGAGGGGTGTGCGTGGGGGCAGCGCGCTATGTATCTTAACTTGAGGGCTCAGCCTTGGCTCGGGGCGTGTGGGGAATGGGACATGCCTGAAGTGGGGGTCTTGGAACTCCACGGGAGACCGCAGTGAGAGGTCGTCGCAGAGATGCGACGCGGTTCGAGTGAGATGTCCCTGGTCCGTATAGTCGCTCTCCACCCAGGAATTCCTGGCTCCGGGGGGAGGCCACCCTGGAGAGAAGTGGGGAACGTTGTGTCTGCAACTGGTGTAGACTGAGCTGCTGGGCTGATTTCAAAAGCAGGCCCGCGGAAGCCCCCTAGGCCAACTGATGGCCTGGGCCTGCTCCAAGGCTGTGCAACGTGTCGCTTGTTGCATGGGTGGCCACGTCTGCCTGGAGGAGAGACTCACAACCCCCCACAAAGCGTGTGTCCAGCTTTTTTTCTAACTCGAAGATTATGAGTCAGTTTGGGTCATCTTGCTGGGGAGTATGAACTGCAATTTACTCCTCGGGCCAGGAATGGTTGGGAGGGGGATGAAGAGAACCAGGAGGAGCCCCTCCCAGGGACCCATTCCCCCTGTTCTGTGTAAAGCCGGTGCCCATTCGGGTCTCCAGCCTGTGGCTACCACTCAGGAGCAATGCAATCGAGCTAAAGGGAAAGAAAAAACACTACCGGGAAAGCAAGTATCCCAAGCTCTTTCCAGGGGCTGATTTGTGGGAAAGCCCGTTTGTATAAAGCCTTCCCCCTTTAAACTCTCAAAGTCAACAAACCCAGTAGAGGGCAGAGAGAGGTTTTAGGTCCCAGGCAAGAGCCAGCCAATGACTGATCTGTAGTCCTTGGCACATTATGGACTCCAGTCCTTAAACCAATCTAGATGGTTGTCAGGCATTGCAATACATAAGAAGGCAGGAGGCTTTTGGTGATTTTTTTTTTTTAAGATTTGAATTTCTTAAGCTGACATTCTAGGCTAAGATGACAAAACAAGCACCCTGATAGCTAATTCTAAACTGGTTTCAAAGGCCTGGAGGATCCTAAGAGAGACACACAGGGATCAGCCTAGGAAAGGGAAAAAGATAAGATCTCCTGAGTAAACTGGGAGGGTGGGGGTTCAGGAGGGAGGTGGACAGGGAGAGGGGAAGAGGGAAGGGGGTTGGGGAAAAAAAGCACCAGGGAGAAAAAAAATCCGAGTAGCTTCACACAACCGTGGTTGTGTTTGTTTGTTTTTGTCGCTGTTGTTTTCTATGATATATAATTTTTGCTCCACAAAAAGCACACTGTGTTGGGAGCTACAGTTCTATTTTAAGTACCTAAGGTTTTTTTTTTAATTATGCCACGTGAGTGTGGCTCGTGTGCAGTTTGCATTTTACGAATGTGTAGTTAAGATACAGAAAATATCCCCTTTCCCCATAAAGCTAACATTTTTCCCCCCTCGAAGGATTTTACAGTACCTATGGTTTCCCACGGCTCTAACCCAACTTGGAAAAGCATGCTGTGCAGTCGGGCTCAGGTGCATCCTGTAGATTGGATTTCGTCTTGGTGACAGAAAAAGTGACACCGTCATTGGGAAGGTTTCGACAGATTGCATAAAGTAACGTCTTTGTATTGGGCTTTCAAAGCCTTCCTTTCAGCCCCCACCGAGTTCTGCCCCCTGGTGGCCAATAAAAATATGGGGAGCTGGGAGAGGGAATCAGAGCCGTCCATTCACGGTTACTCATTTTGTTGACTGACAACTCTAAAACGTCCATTGGGACTAGGATTTTAGATTGGGAAAAAAACAAACTTTACGTAACGTCTTGCCTGGGAGGAATTTCAAAATGTCAAATGTACTAGAGAAATTGACATCAATAAGGGAAATGTTAAAGTAAAAACCTTAGTTGCATTTTGGAAAGTCAAATTAATGGTCCCCTTGTTTCCAGGTGAACTCATTCAAGGGTAGGCACAGGAATTGGAGAAAGGAAGCTCAGTGTATCACTGTCTTAGGTCGGTGGTAGAGCACGAGGCTCTGAGTTCAATACCCACGACTGTAACACTGTAACATGAACTAACTCTCTCTCTCTCTCTCTCTCTCTCTCTGTCTCTGTCTCTGTCTCTCTCTCTGTCTTTCTCTCTGTCTCTCTCTGTCTGTCTCTCTCTCTCTGTCTGTGTCTCTCTGTGTCTGTCTGTGTCTCTGTCTCTCTCTGCCTCTCTCTGTCTCTCTGTGTGTGTGTGTGTGTGTGTGTGTGTGTGTGTGTGTGTGTGTGTGTGTGTTGAGGAACAGTCTCATGTATCCCAGGCTAGCCTCAAATTTGCCGGGTTGGGGGAGGGGGAGCCTGAACTCTTACAGGCCCGTGCTGCTAACCTCAAGGCAAGAATGTTGGTGATTGTCCCCAGTTTATACATGACACAACAGGCACTGAAATGCTGTGTAAATGGCCTGGTCTTGCATACTGAAGAGAGGCCAAGGCCAGCATTAAAATAAAAAGGAACAATGGTTCTAGAATCTATGCATTTTATTTTATTTATTTATTTAATTTTTTTTGGTTTTTACGAGACAGGGTTTCTCTGTATTGTTTTGGAGGCTGTCGGTCCAGCCTGGCCCCGAACGCACAAAGATCCACCTGCCTCTGCCTCCCGAGTGCTGGGATTAAAGGCGTGCGCCACCACCGCCCGGCTGAATCTATGCATTTTAAATTCTACACCATACACAAAACAACGAACAGCGGCAGAGAGAATCCTAGCTCTTACAGATGGTTTGGTAAATTATTACCTCCCTGTTGACGACAGGTGGCCACATGAAGACAGGCCACAGACTCCTCCTTAGGGACACAGAATGGGTGAGAAAGTGCCACCCTAGTGCATCTTCCTTTACATCAAAATAGGAGAAGCAGACGATATGTGTATCCAACTTAGAGGTAATGCAATGCAAGGTATTTATTACAAGTTAATGCAATATAGGATAATTAAGGTTTTATTTCATAGTTCTCCCCCTAGCAACGAAAAGGTCACTCGAGAGGAGAAAAGGATCTATATGGATGGATAAGTATTTTCCTTACATTAATATTTATAACAAAAACTAGAAATAAGCACCTAGAAACTGTGCATCAAAATTTTTGTATGATTGTTTGTTTTGGTTTTAATTAATTTTGGGGGCAGGTTGCAGGGGGAGGGGTGAATATGGAGGGACTTGGAAGTGAGCAGAATTGGTGTGTGTGTGTTGTAAAATTCCTAAATAATCAATAAAGAATTATGTTTAAATTTTTTATGATAGCAAGGTAGTGGTGGTTCATATCTTTAATCCCAGCACTCAGGAGGCAGAGGGAGTGATTTGTTGTGAGTTCAGGGTCAGCCTGGTCTGCAGATCAAGTTCCAGGATAGCCAGGATTATACAGGGAAGCACTGTTTTGGAAAAAAGAAAGTTTGATAATGCAAAAGTGCATTTATGGAGTATAAGCACTTGATAAAACATGGGACTATAAGGAGCAAACACAATCTACTGGGGGCTGGAGAGATGGCTCAGTGGTTAAGAGCACTGGCTGCTCTTCCAGAGGACCCAGGTTCAATTCCCAGCACCTACACGACAGTTCACACCTGCCTGTAACTCCAGTTCCAAGAGATCTGATCCCTCTTCTAGTCTTACAAGCCAGGTGCTCTAGCATACGCATAAAAGAATAACAAAATTTAAATTAAAAAAATCAAATGTGCGCACCTTGGAATACAGCTAGATGAAATATATAATCCGAAGTAGAAAGAAAAACACATGAAAAATACGTTTTCTCTTTGATCTGTATAAGTTTGCCCAATACAAAAAAATATGAAGTGACAATGTTTTCTAAATAACCCTTGAAGTGAGTTCTCCATAGTAACTCATGAGAGAGTGGACAAGGTGATTTAAAGGAACTCTTGACAGATTCAAATGAAGTGTAGCTGTGATCCTTTGATGCTTATTGTTTATTTACATATTCAGGAATGTATTTTATATTTACTTATTTTGTACTGGGATTAAACCTAGAGCCTTGTGCATGCTAGACAAGAGCTCTATGATGGGCCGAACTGTATCGATATACCCCATGTCGGTTTTATATCTTGTAATTCATTTTGCATCTTAAGCAATGACGTTCCCCCCTTCTCATTGTACTCTAGTATAATGGAATGTGCCTACAAGGGCCAGCGGGAGTCCCCGGTCGCGATGGGAGTCCTGGGGCCAATGGCATCCCTGGTACACCAGGCATTCCAGGTCGGGATGGATTCAAAGGAGAAAAAGGAGAGTGCCTGAGGGAAAGTTTTGAGGAGTCCTGGACCCCAAACTACAAGCAGTGTTCGTGGAATTCACTGAATTACGGCATAGATCTTGGGAAAATTGCGGTAAGTCAAGTCCAGATTATATTAAAGTTGAATCGAAATGTAAGAGTTTTATAAGTCAGTGTCAAGTGTATTTTTTATTAAACCTAAAGAAAAAAAAAGAATGGAGAATAATAATGTGTGGTTTTCTTTACTTAAAGTTAATGAAAAGTTTGATAACATTTCATTTAATTTCATAAAGGTATTTCTAAGATAGATAATCACTTTATTTATTAAAGTATAGCATTTTTCCAGTTAGACTTTAACCAGCATTCTAATATTATCATTAAGTAAATTTAAATATAAATTAGTCTAACAGCCTGCTGTAGCTTCAGGCGTAAAAGTGGAGGATAGTATTAATGCCACTGATCCACAATGAGACCACTACCATGGTTTAAAGGCAAATTTGAAGCAAGCTTTAATTAAAATCTGGCCAGGTGGATGGGCTCTGACCAGGTCTAAACCCTAGTTCCTGGGAAATGACCCAAAATCATGGTTTGCAGCCACTTAAGAAGGGAAACCCATAATTCATTGCATTTCCCACCAGATCCAATCAGGAGCAAGCATACATCCTGGGAACCTCCGGCCCACTTTCCATCAAGCACATCCGGTGCAGATGGGTCAAACACACTTGTTTAGGGAGTGAAAACATGTGGTTTGTTATCTCATAAACAACAGCCTCCATTATTTCAGGAACTGTCTGTCCTTGGGCAGGAGGCTTGTAGATCAGAGGCGTTTTTGTTCCATAGGTCTCTAAGGCATAGTAATGAAAACTTAAAATATATCTTTGCCTCTCACAATAGTTTTAAAAAATTACCACATGACTGGGATCCATGTTATGGGAAGTCCCTTTGTCCTTAATCTCAAGCTCAGCTTATAGGTGCTCAGGTTTAAGGGGACTGAAATTGATGACTAGTGATTTAAAACCATCACTGTGGTGATTCTGTAACACGGTGGGGTTGAAGAGATGTGCTAATTTATGGGTATGAAAATAAAACCTTAGGGGGCAAATGATTACTCTGCCTTTTAAGCAGAATAACAGTATCAGTTAGTTTCTCCTCTAGGACCTTATGAGCTAGCCAGCTATTGGTTTTGGGGTCCAGTTAACTCTACGGGGCATGAGTTTCATCTTGTAGAGCAGCCTTTTAACCCCATCAGAAAGTAGCTGGTTACGCCCCTAACATTTGTAACACTGTTGCACCGGTGGGGGCCATTGCTATCCTAGTTCCTGGGGTTGACAGCTGGGTGAGACCTTTGATTACTTTTCCCCTTGGCGGCACGTGTTGAACCTTCCAGCACTATGAAGGCTAGCCAGTAGGGATGAGTTTCCAGGTCAACGTCAGCTCAGTTACCTGTGTCCTATGACTGTGGTATCTTTAGAAATAGGGAATACCATTAATCTGTAAAGAAAAATGAAATTATGAGACCCACAGGTAAATGGGGGGAGGCTGAAAATAGTCACTCTCAGTGAGGTCACCCAGACCCAGAAAGGTAAATACTACGTGTTCCCTCTCATGTATGGATGCTATTTGTTTGTTTGTTCGGTTTGGTTTTGGTTTTTTTGAGACAGGGTTCCTCCGAGTAGCTCTGGCTGTCCTGGAACTCACTCTGTAGACCAGGCTGGCCTCGAACTCAGAGATCCGTCTGCCTCTGCCTCCCGAGGGCTGGGATTAAAGGCGTGCGCCACCACCGCCTGTCCTGGATGTTAACTTTGAATCATTAGATTGGCATATTTACATTAGGGCATATTCATAGAAGTTATGAAATTAGTAAGGAGTCGTGTGACTCAGTGGAAACGGGATAGAACGCAGGCATTAATTATGAAGGAGGAGAAGGGAATAATGTAATAGGAGGGGTTAGATGAGGTGGGGGATGGGAGGGCAGGAGAAGGGAGGGCGTATGAGGAAGGATAACTAACAGTGAAGACCTTTGAGAAAGCAGTAAGGAAGCCGACTCCTGGAGAAGCTTCCTAAAGCATGGACGTACATCTAGACGAAAATTCTGTCCTCTCAGGTCCCGACGCCCTGCTTCAGCCCCAAATAAGCACACGACACGAAGACATATTATTTATTAAACTGTTGGACGATGGCTTGGGCTTCTTATTGGCTAGCTCTGCCTTAATTAGTAACCCGTAGCTACTAATCCATGTATTTTCACATGGTCTTGGCTTACCGGAGAGTGTTACTCCTTTGACGGCTACATGGTGTCTCCTCCTCTCTCCATCCTCTCCCCATGGGTCTCCTCGTCTCCTAGCCCCACCTATCTTCCCGCCTCTACTGCCCAATCAGTGTTTTACTCATCAACCAATAAGAGAAACACATCCACAGAAGGACACCCCCCATCACATATACACGTATAAAAGGAGCTTGAATGGTGTTTCCTTAGATAGCATAAACTATGAAATAAAAAGCCCGATGCCAGACGTGGGGACCTCTTTTGGAGCTGTTGGTCAGTGGCGTCCCAGACCTCCCCCGAATCTCGGGGCTTAGCCTCCATGACTCGATGGTGGAAGTGTCTTTGTAACTGAAATGAAAAACGCGTTCCCCTGTTTCCCTGCCGTGGCAGGAGTGTACGTTTACGAAGATGCGCTCCAACAGCGCCCTGCGAGTCCTGTTCAGCGGTTCCCTGCGGCTGAAATGCAGAACCGCGTGCTGTCAGCGCTGGTACTTTACGTTTAACGGGGCTGAATGTTCAGGGCCTCTTCCCATCGAAGCCATCATCTATCTGGACCAAGGGAGCCCTGAGTTGAATTCAACCATTAACATCCATCGCACCTCTTCTGGTATGTATAACAGCGGCACTGCCGGGCGTGCCTCGGGTCTGCCTTGGTGGATGCGTGATCTCCACCATCATGCTGGGTAACTGGCTTTGTTGTGCCCAAATTCGGAACCCCCAGATCACCGAGACCTATTCCGATGCGAAAGCAATGAATCTTTTTGTTTTGGTTTGGTTTTTGGTTTTTCGAGGCAGGGTTTCTCTGTATTGTTTTGGAGACTGTCCTGGAACTCGCTCTGTAGACCAGGCTGGCCTCGAACTCACAGAGATCCGCCTGCCTCTACCTCCCGAGTGCTGGGATTAAAGGCGTGCGCCACCAACGCCTGGCTTCAAAGAGTCTTTTATTTAATAAGTTAACTGTACTAACTTGGTTGCTCCATCCGTCTGACACAGTGGGTGGGACGAGAAGGACCCGGAGGGACCGAGGGGTGGGGGAATTTACTGGGTAGAACAAGGGGAGTATCTAGGGGTGTACAACAGTCTCAGGATTGGTGCGCTTCTAAGCTTGGACAACCTGTCCTGAGTTGATTGGTCAACTGGTTGCTATGGCCTGTAGGCCCTCTCAGGGCGGTTGCTATGCTCTGCAAGTCACTGTTAGCATAAAGCACATCCAGAGCCACCAGCTAACTTCTGGTTCCTTGCCAAGGGAGGTATCTGACCTCCAGGCAAGGCCAGGCAAGTACCTGTTGCTGAGTCAGGGACCTCTATTGCAGGGTCTTTTCTGCAGTCTGTCATGGCTGCGATTGGCTGCAGGATACCCCCAGGATCCCCAACCCTGAAGGTTTCATCGGTGAGAGTCTGGTCCCGTCAGCCTGTTCTAAGTAGACCTCTAGAGGGTTATATATAGTGTGTGACTCTCCAGCCTGGGCTGCAATTCATCATCGTTCACAGATCTTTTTCAAAGGGAACAGATGTGCCCCAAAGCTGAAAGTCAATGATTAAGTTAGAAACGGCAGTGACTCGGTTTAGCAGTGGCTCTGGTTTTCACCCGTTGCTACACAGTAGGCTCACCTAGGAAGCTTGAAAACTACCTGCCACGGCGGCGCCACTCCTCCAGGAAGATGGAGTGCGCGCGCGGGGATACGATGTGCTAATGTCATCGTTTCTCCACTTGACGCACTGTGAGGATGACACTGGACCTGCACCTGTCTGCGGTCCTTTGGCTACAGGGTTAAGTGGACACGTTTCTAGGCCATCGGGGGTCAAGGCCATCGGGAAACTTGAGTATCACTGGCATGTGTTTCCAGCTAGCGCGGTCCTGAGACTACCAGACAGCTTAGATGGGATGGCGGGCTCACTGCTAACCTCTTCCAGGAGGTCTAGAGCAGAAGGCGGTCCCTGTACTCAGAGATGTCATCGGCAGATTGCTTCAGTTCTGTAACCCCGGGGCTCAGTGGGACTGCACTAAACGAGGGTGGAAACAGGGCAGGGCACACGAACGCATTCATCTCAGCCAGCGGGGAGGCTAGACAGCCACTGCCCTGCTGTACACCACCATTCGTCCTTTAAGAACCGGCCAACTCCGGTTTCCCTTCCGGCTCACACAGACGCGCTGATGAAACACGTCTCCCTGCCTGTTTTAGCGGCCACCAGTGAGATCTTTGTTTCAGATGTGAGTGAAGGACTTTGGCGAGGCGGGATGTAAGATGTACGTTAGCACGAAGGCTACACAAAGCAGAGCAATTAGAGTAATTAGCGTAACTCTGGTAAAGGTCAGTGGGGGCGGTTTAGCGGTTGAAGGGTGGATGACCTGAGTTTGGCCCCTGGGACCCCCATGGTGGAAGGAGAGGACCAGTTCCTGTCATAAGTTACTAAGTTGTGTTCTGACCTCCCATGTGCACTGTGGTACAGGTGTATCCACAACTACATACACACACTAGATAGACAGATAGACTAGATAGATAGATGATTGATAGATGATGTATTAGAAAGATAGATAGATAGTAGGTAGATAGATGATAGATATATACATACATACATAGGTGTAACTTATTGTAGGAAAAAGAATCTATGTAAAATAGATTCATATATTGAATGGTTGGTATAAGATTCAACTGGGTGAGGGTTGGAGAGATGGCTCAGAGGTTAAGAGCACTGACTGCTCTTCCAGAGGTCCTGAGTTCAATTCCCAGCAACCACATGGTGGCTCACAACCATCTATAATGAGATCTGGTGTCCTCTTCTGATATGCAAGCAAAACACTGTATACATAATAAATAAATAAATCTTCAAAAAAAGATTCAACTAGGGGTTCTTCTAATTATATGAAAGTCCTATCAGATCTACGGAGCGGTGCTGAAAAGGAATTTCTTTCAAAAGACTTGGACAATCATGATCCAAGTCTCTTCCAAAGTTGGGAGGTCTTGACCATTGAATGTGTAAGCTTCCCGTATGGTTTGGTAAATTGTTCTTTGGTTTTAAACCATCTCTGTAACTAAAGACACTCTGGTTTGAGAATACTGCCCGTTGAGGTAATAGCATAGTAATTACATACCTGCCTTCAAAAATATGTATGCACCCACTAAGAGAAAAAGAGACTTTCATTATGAAATCCTTAGCAGGTACTAGAATTCTTAATTAGCTTTACATCAAACTGGATTATAACCCAATTTTCTACAGTAGGTGCAAAATGAATGGTTTTGTCTTTGTTCTAACGAGTGTTATGATTGGCTGTGTTTTGCAGTGGAAGGTCTCTGTGAGGGGATCGGTGCTGGGCTTGTGGATGTGGCCATCTGGGTTGGCACTTGTTCTGATTACCCTAAAGGAGACGCGTCTACGGGGTGGAACTCAGTGTCTCGCATCATTATTGAAGAGCTACCAAAATAAATCCTCCGAGGCTTTCATTCCCTACCTCTTGTATTTTTAAAACCAAACCTTTGAATGGTTCATTTAAGGGACATTCAAGAAATCACTTTATGTACCCAGCTGAACGGAAATGCAGTTAAATATGTTTACAGACCAAAGTGTGATCTTGCACTTTAAAATCCCTCGTTATTCATTTTGCTTCCATCAGGAATGTTTTTAGGACTTTCCCCCCATTGGTTACCTTTTTCTTGATTCTGTTCTTTGAACTCATGTATTAGAATGTCATTATGATCTTTAGTCTTTCCTATTTCCCACTGTCAACATTTTTAAAATATATAAAAGTTATGTCATTGTATGAGCTGTAAATGTTTAGAACTGTTTTGTACCTGTTAAATAAAATGTTTCAAACAGCTTTAGTATTCTTCTTCTGTTTGCTTGTTTTATATAGCCCTGCCTGTCCTGAAAGTCGCACTAGATCAGGCTGGCTTAGAACTCAGAAATCTGCCTGCCTATACCTCCCATGTGCTCACCAAGCGTGACAACGTTAGTATTTTTAAACTGAAGATTTTGACAATGATGTTGAACTTCTAGTTACTTGATATATGAGAAGTTACACCTAACTCTAGGTAGTTATTTAACAATTTATGGAGTTTTAGTACATGTTCTGTGTTAAGCATGGTTCTGTATCTTGAGGGATACGAAAACATACGGGTGTTTATGTGTCACGAATATGACAGTATTTTAGGAATTTTATCTTACTGTATCAAAAAGTAAAAGCCCATGGCTCAGGCCTCAATTTGCTTCCCATCCGGTAGGAAAGATAAGACACACAAAAATGAGAGCATTGAAGGAGGTGGTAGATCTCGAAGTAGAAGTAATTGCCTTGAATCGCGGTGGTCAGAAGGAATCCGCCAAGTCTGGATCCGCGCGAGGGAGATGAAGTTCTGGGCTTGAATGGGAAGTGTCAGCGGGAATTTGTGTTTTATTTTTTGGGAACTCCTGGTTTATTTACTAAGAGCAATGGCTGGCTCACACTGTGGCAGCTACAATAGAAAGATCTTGTAAGATATGAGTGACTGTAGCTCTTGGGCAGGAAATGTACCATGGGATCCCAGAATGCCTTACTTGGGAAACAAGGCAGCTGAAAGACGACTTGAAAGGACCCAAGGATTCAGCTTGAATTGTTTCCTACTGGCAAAGATGACACGGGTGTCAATACAGATGATAACTGCAATATTTACAGTGAGATGGTATACACGAACTCATGATACGCTACAGTCCTAAAGCATATATATAAATTTTTTTTTTGGTTTTACGAGACAGGGTTTCTCTGTATTGTTTTGGAGGCTGTCGGTCCAGCCCGGCCTCGAACTCACAGAGATCCGCCTGCCTCTGCCTCCCGAGTGCTGGGATTAAAGGCGTGCGCCACCACTGCTCGGCTAATACTCAAAGTTTTATCTTTCAAAATTATATATATATATATATATATATATATATATATATCATAGTATTGAATATTCATAGTTAACAAATGAACAAAGAATGCTGACATTAGACGATCACCCTTTTCAGCCACTTATGAATTAAGGGATCTATGACTGGATTTTTGCCTCCTAACATCCCCCAAAGAGAAACCAGACTAAATACCCCCTAAGAAAGTCACATAGCACCACCTAAGAGACAGTTTTATCAGCAGTCAAACCTGGATGCAATTTAGCACGTAGAGGTGACTATTTATTGATGGAAACACAGGGGATAAAAGACAGATACAAATGTAGCAATAGAGATCAAGATACAAAAAGCAAAACATTGAATTCTTCAACAAACTGCAAGAAAAAAAAAAGATTAAAAAAAGGCATAAGGCCATATCAACCTATTGCAAAGTTTGTACTCAGGCACTGACTCAAGAAGATTATAAGCACAGGCAAGGTCAGATTTTTATTTAGGTAGTAAACATTGATGGTATAAATACTTTTTAGGTATGATATGCTATTGTGGTTGTTTTTAAATAGTGCTCGGGTCTTTAGAGCATTTAAGACAATGTGAATCCATGCGTTGTGGTTTGGATGAGAAACATTCCCCCAAAGGCTCTGTCAGTTTTCAGGCCTCTGTACTGTCCTGTCCTTGGGGTTCTGACAGGATACACCCTCAGCTGCAGCCGCTAAGAGCACCACCTGTGCACATTCACTGTGTTCCCTTTAAAAGGACCCCGCCCACCTCCCATCCTCTTTTTCTCCCTCTGCCTGGCCCCTCTCTCCTCTGTTTTTTTCGTCTCTCTCCCCCTCTCTCCTGCTGCTCCTGTCCCTGGAGGCCGGTCCCCCTCCTTCCTTTTCTCCTTTTTATGATCCCCTTTCCTAATTAAAAACAAAACCCCTCAGCTTGAACCCTGTTCTCTCCCATGCTGCTTTTCTTGGATTACAACACTGAAGGCTGTCCTGGCGTCTCCTCCTGCCCGCAGGCAATTCGAGGCCCACTGGGGCCTTGGAACCCGGTTCCCATAGGACAGCCATGCTTCTCCGGATCGGATCGCTGGGTCCTTCCATCCAAAATGGTCAGGGCTGGGGAGCCGCTCCGCCTTCCCCTCCCTAGGCTATTCCCACGAGCCAGCGAGCAAGCAAGCGAGCAAGGACTCCTCTCGTCTCTCTAGTGCCGTCTCTCGCCTTTTGGCCTCCGGTTAGGTCCTGGTATCACGGCCTCGGCCCCCACCGTTTGCACGATGCCCCACTGGGTGGCCTGCTCAGTCTCGGACCCTCTGCTCCTTCGGGCCCTGCCCCTTGATGGACGAATCACGGGGGCGGCTTGTGACTTTCCCGCTCCATCCTTGCTTGATTTTGGGATCTTGTCCTGCGGAATAAACCTAACAAAACTCGGCTTCCCCAGCGCTTGGTAATCACTTCATGCTGGGACCCCAACCCGCCTGCTCCCCCTGTAAATAGATCTGCTCTTTTACCTGCACCAAATCTGCTTTCTCGTTCGTTCGCTGACGGCTTTGCCTTCCATTCGGTACCTGCAATTGGGTCTCAGGTGGGGTCAACTTGGTCCCTGGTGGGGTTATCCACTTGTGAGCAATTCCCCCTGGATGTGAGGTTTCCTTTCCCCCGTACAGGTCTGGCTTTTCTCGAACTCCAGGCACCAGGCGACTGTGTCTGTCTCTCGGGCTCGGAGCCCCCGGCCCCCACCCTTTGAGTGGCGACTCACTGGGTGGCCTGTGCCTGCCTGGAAATGGACCCTCTCTGAATTCCTGGGACGCTAGGAATTGCAGACCTTGCTCTCTGCCTCACTCATGGGAGCTGTGTCATCGTCTAGACCCGCTTGCTCCCATTGGGGTGTTTTTTTGGGAGACCCACTGTGTTGGGGAAGTCCTGTTATTTGTCAATAAAGCACTGCTGGCCAATAGGAATCTAGATAGGTGGGACTAGGAGTCCAGGAGGACTCTGGGAAGGAGAAACACGAGAGTCGAGATGTAATTCCATGGGGGTAGGAAGCCCGGAACTATTCTCTGTTAAGAAAAATACTTAGATTAACAATTATGGGGTAATTACTTAAGTCAGAGCTAGCCAGTAAGAAACAAGCAAGGCCAACAGCTTCATAATTAATATAGCATCCTGTGTGTTCATTTGGGACTGACGTGGCTCTGGAACCAGGCTGGCGGGAAGGCTACTCTCAAGGAAAAAGCTTCTCTTTACACCACTGACCATTCCTAACCGGCTGCTATTGCAGGACTCCCAGCCACAGAGCTGGCGATGCAAGGCTATCAGATGTGTCGGTGTCCCGCGCTACCGTCTCGCCAGCAAGAACGACGCAGAACACTCGGATCCTTCTGCAGTAAAGCTTTAATGCATCTTGAGAGATAGATGATCAGCTTCTTAGAGGGAGACCCCAAGCTAAGAAACCCAGCCCCTTATATAAGCCTAGGAGCTCCGAGTGAGATGTGTAGAGCCGGGATTGGTGGTTTGCACATCACCCCAGATGACGTCACGGGAGAGGCACAGTTTAAACGGTTAACTCCAACTGACAGCGACAGTTAACTCCAACTGACAGCGACAGTTAACTCCAACTGACAGCGACAGTTAACTCCAACTGACAGCGACAGTTAACTCCAACTGACAGCGACAGTTAACTCCAACTGACAGCGACAGTTAACTCCAACTGACAGTGGATGTCAGCGCCATCTTCTAACGGCAATAGCGATAGCGAGGGCGGCTCCTCACATGTCGGGGTGATGGGAAAGGGTGGAGTGCTTTAAGCCCTGGGGACTCCATCTGGATCCACCAAGAACCGCACTGGGCACCTGGCGGTTCCACAGAGCCTGGACAGTGACGTGAAACAGCCAGTTTCTCCAGGACGTGGCCAGCACCCCATCTCTCCCAGGTCCCCCAAAGATGAGCGACGCCCCGCAGGCCAGCAGGAAGCAGTCTTGCAAATAACGCATCCTCATCCCTGCCTCACCTGCTACCCCTTTCTAACTCCTCACCTTTATTATAATAAAAAGGGAGAAATGTCAATATTCAGGCATCTGTGCTGACCTGCCCTCGGGGTCCTGACAGGACATGCCCTCAGCTGCAGCCACTGAGAGTACCACGTGTGCACAGTCACTGTGTTCCCTTTTACAAGGGCTCTGCCCACCCCCCATCCTCCTCTCCGCCTCCTCTTCCTCTCTCCTGCTGCTCCTGTCCAAGGAGGCTGGTCTCCCCGCTTCCCTTTCCCCTTTATGATCCCCTTCCCTAATAAAAAAGGCCCCTGGGCTTGCTTCTGTACCCAAGATCCATTCCTGTCTACGAGGCTCGGGAGTTCGTGCCTCCATCAAGGCACGTATGTACACCATTGTCTACTTCCCAGTTTGGGGGCGCTGTGAGGCGGAGCTCATGCTGCTGCCTTTGATCCCAGCACTCGGGAGGCAGAGGCAGGCGGATCTCTGCGAGTTCAAGGCCAGCCTGGTCTGCAGAGATAGGTGTAGACAGCCAGGGCTACACAGAGAAATCCTGTCTTGGGGGCAAAAACAAAAACAAAAAAAAAATCTAGTTTCCTTAGCTAGGAAAAATGAATTTTAAATTATATTTCTCATTGTTTAAATATTCCTGTAGGCTAGTTCTTTGCAAACTACTAAGTTCAATGTATTTTATTCTTTAAACAAGATTTTGAGATATCCAAATAAAGTGTAGCTACGGCTAGGACTATGTATAAAATAGCAATTTTGAAATTTCCAAGAATTCTTGGGAATACTGATTCATTGTCCCTGAATCTCAAAGAGTTACATGCCAGGAATTTAGAAAACTTGATAAAAAACTTGCTTTTTGTTACAGTGTGTCACAATCTAAAAATATATCATTGTTGCTGAATAAATACACTTTAAAGAGTTAAAAATATTATAGCAAACACAATTATTTGTAAATATAAATTATCTTTTCAATTTTATTTTAAAACAGTGCCATTTCCAAATATAAAAAAATAGGCTTATTTTCAAAGAAATCTTTATATATAGTTTTGCTCACCATGTTTTATTTACAAAAAAATAGACATTAGTATAGCAGCACTGACAGCTGTTTATGAGAAAACTTGTATTATTTCAGCATCCTTCTGGGGGTTGGCCTCTATGCCTGGAGATCTATAGAGACAAACAAATCAAGTCCGCAATGGCCATGAATGTAATTTGTATTTTAACCTGATTTTGAGCAACCAATGTAGACAAATCATTTATTTGGAATATGGATACATAAATCTTAAAATTAAGGGGAAAAAAAGGAATGTTTATTTCTACTCAATTTTTCAACAAACTCACAGAAAACACCCCCTCTCTGAAATGTGACTGACCCGGCATCTCTCATGAGAGATTTGTAACCACACAGACTTCACTGGATCCCAGAGGTTTGGACTTGATACACTCCTGCTACACACTGTGTGTCTATGGCCAAAAAGACGGTTGGGATCCAGAACCACATCTTAAATAATTAAGCAATGGAACGACAAAAAGTGCTAGGTATTTCTCAGAACAAAACCATCTCCATTCAAAATGGGCTGGATTTGGATGGCGCCTCATTCAGGAGCCCCCCAGGTTGAATTGTCCCCTGAAACAGTCACTCTTGTAAGAAGCCAGCTCCTTGCTATTGCACATGGGTCAATTTTAAAGCCAATCCAGGCAAGAGAGTTCAGGAAAAAGAACATTCATCGGATTGTTTACAGATACTGCAAATTAGCTTCTACATGAACTGAAATGGAAGATCTCATACATCCTCAAGGCTATCTGTCTCAGCCCTGTGCTGACGGCATCCCCTGCAGGCAGAGGCAGCCAAGACACACGCACGCACGCACGCACGCGCTCCCACGGAGCAGCAGCACAGGGCAGAAAACAAGATTCTCAGTCCTCTGGCTTCTACCACAGACAAATGCTGGGCGTGAGCTGCGATGCTCGCTGTTGTCTTCTGAGCTCTGTGTTTCAAACACACAGGAGTCTGCAGCTGCCTCAGGCACACACTGGATCTTCTCTTAGCTTGCTGTCTTTTCTCTAAGGCCACACAAAAAGTGCGAGACGTTTTCATAAACCACAAAGGTGATACAGCAGGCCGGAGTCACTCTAATCAAATTGGGAAGGATGCCTTTGTAAAATCCACCGACGCCTTCTTTCCTACAGGAGGGACAGACACAGGCTCATTTCCTAAGTGGCCAGCGTGGACAGACCAACAGTTCATGAACACGGGGCACGGGATAAGCAGTCCGGCTCCACCCTACTCACACACGGGTGTGTGCAAACCATGCGCACAATGCCCTGGGGGGGACGTAATTTATGTGCCATTCATGGAACTTTTATAAACTGATGAGGGAAGAGGGTAGGGACCGTTTGTTTAGCGAGTCACTCATGTTTTACAAGGACGGTGGTGCCGGAGGTGTAGCAGATCTAAGGCAGGACCCAGGACGGGCGCTGAGGCAGGAGGGATCGTTACAAGCCTCAAGTCTCTGAAGGCGGCCTGGACTAGACACGAAGGAACACAACAGGGGGCCAGGGAAAGCTACATCCCAGAGACTGGCAAACAAGCAAGCAGACAGCAGTATGTCCATGATCTCATAACTGGTATCCGTGATACAAAAGTCTAAATAAGGCTCACATAAAAATAAGTCTTTATTCCCTTAAGGCCTAGACTAGGGAATAAGGCCTAGTAAGTTACCATGCAGACTATCAAACCGTAGTGAACTAATTAAATGCAGTCTCTCCAGGGCTTTCAGAAGTAAAGAGAAATGCAAGGGAAGTCTACCTATAACAATTTAATTCTTCTCCTGCATAATCTCTTCTATACCCACAGACAGGCACGTGTGAAAGTCACAGGGTCAGTAGCAGATACAGGCCATTTCAAACACATTCGACTAGCTTTCTGACTTCCTGCACGCAGTGTCAATCACATATTGAGACTTAAATTCTGTGCTGGTAAGTTTTTCAAAGCACTGACATCTGCTTCACTGTTTTTATTACAACTTTGCGAGCCCCAACGGTCTAGGTTTACAAACGAAGGGATCAGGCTTCAGAGACATTGTGACGCATAAGCCAGCCGTCTTTTCCACGGCAAACTGGTCAGCCCTAAGAGCCTGTGGAGTGGACGGTCTAGGCATGATCTCACCTCCATGTCTTTATGATCACATCCGTCACGCCGCCGTAAGACACGTGCTGGTCCTGAAGACGGGCTCGCACAACTTGATACGGGTATGTCGCCGCCACAGCAAATATTTTAGATAGTGCTGCAACAGAGATGTACTCTGCCGTGCTCTAAAATGACAACACGGGTAGGATTTCTTTAAAAGCAAAAATTACAAACAAAGCGCATTTAAATAAACAAACAAACAAACAAACAAATAAATAAATACCATTCCCTCTTTCGCACAAGGTCTATTTAATATGGGGATCCATTTAACATTTGTGCCAGTAGCTTATAAAATACTTAGCGGTTAGTTAAGTTAGTGACAGAGTATGATAGCAATATTGTCAAAGTAAACGTATTTAAAACTCTTCTACCGATTTAGCGCCCATCAAGGCCAGTGACGTCACTTTAAAAGAGTTCTCTTACCAGCTGGGCTTCTGGTAATCTATTGATGTGCTTGTTATACTTCAGCTTCAGCAACTCATACGCCATGAACTGCAGGGCGCCGTGGGATGTTCCAAACAGCCCAGGGACAAATCCCTAAAGGGGAGGATGAAGAAGAGCAAAATTAAACAGCTTGTAATGAAAGATATACTTAAAATATTATCACATTATTTTATGGAAATTCACCTACATTTCACACGAGTCACGTTTTAATATATGGTATTAAAAACAGTATTGCAGGGGCAGGAGAGATGGTTCAAAGGTTAAGAACACCGGCTGCTCTTCCCGGGGACTAGGGTTCAATTCCCGGCACCCATGGAAGCTCACAACTGTCTGTAACTCCAGTTCCAGGGGATCCGGCACACAGACATACATGCAGTTAAGACACCGATGCATGCAGGACAATAAATAATTAAAAGCCAGTGATATTTCAAAGGGCTGTGTGTAGGTGGAGAAGGAGAAAGCCGGTGGAGCGCCAGCATGACCTTCCTGAGCACGGAGTTGCTTGTTCCGCTCTGCCCGGCCACCACCACAGGCTGACACCTCTGAAACTGCAGCCTCGTAAATTCTCCCTTCTCTCTAAATTGCTTCTCTCCCATACCGTGCCCACAGTGATACAAAAATAACCACTGTGAAGAGAAATTAGGCAAGGTACAAAATTGGAAATAGATCTCGTTGCCACTAGGAAGAAATTTCAAATGTACTACATTCGGCAGGTGGTAGAGACAGGTGGATCTCTGAGTTCGAGGCCAGCCTGGTCTACAGAGTGAGTTCCAGGATAGCCAGGGCTACACAGAGAAACCCAAATATATTTGGTTTTTGGAGACAGGGTTTTCCTGTACACACACACACACACATTCTCTCTCTCTCTCTCTCTCTCTCTCTCTCTCTCTCTCTCTCTCTCTCTCTCTCTCTCTCTCTCTCTCTCTCTCTCTCTCTCTCTCTCAATTCCCAAGCACTGAAAAGTCAAAGGACAAACAGGCAAGAGGCTGAGCTTTCCTTTGTGGTTATTTTAAAGTCACATTATATTTCCAGTCAGTAAAAATGGATCCCGTTAAGACTCACTGGTCTCCATATACTGTCAGACAAACTTCCAAGGGCTACAGCTAGGAAAGGGGGATCTAATTGCATGACTCACTAAAAAGACACATGACGAAGGTTTAGGCCATCCCCACGTCAATGTCATGAAGACATAAAATGCCCAGCTTAAAGTACAATTTCAATGTTATAAACAAGATTTCCATTTCATGCGATTCAATGATTTCTTGCATAAGTTTGGTTTCTTTTTAGGACCAAAGATAGTCTTTCAGAAATGAAACTTAAGCCGGGCGTTGGTGGCGCATGCCTTTAATCCCAGCACTTGGGAGGCAGAGGCAGGCGGATCTCTGTGAGTTCAAGGCCAGCCTGGCCTACAGAGCGAGTTCCAGGACAGCCTCCAAAACAATACAGAGAAACCCTGTCTCAAAAAACCAAAAAGAAAAAAAAAAAAGAAATGAAACTTAAGAGCGGATGTCCAGGACAAGAAACTGCCAGTATGGTGACACATGCCTCTAATCTCAGAATCTTGTGGTCTTAGATAGGACGGTTGAGAGTTGAAGGCTGGATGGGGTTATATGGCAAGACTTTGTCTCAAGGGCAAAACAAAAGCCAGTACTAATTGCAATGTCCAGTTATTCAAAGTATATTCATGATAACTTGTTACCTTGTACAATCCACGAACACCTTCATATTTATATATTTTCACAAGCGCGTCAAACATTCCTTTATACTGTCTCTGTGAGGGGTTAACAACACCACCATACTGTAACATAAGGCGAGTTTTCGTCACCCACAACGGGTTTGTAATGCAGAGAGTCATGGCCCCTAAAATCACATTTAAAGACTAATTAGCACACAGGTACTGTTTCACTTAATCCAAACTAAGGGTAGTTCATTAGAAAAAAGCATGCTTTTCAACAGTGTGCATGCACACAGCATAAAGAAGACCCACTTGATCAAGAACAGGGGTAAAGTCAGGTGTGGGGGCGCATGCCTTTAATCCCAGCACTGGGGAGGCAGAGACAGGCGGATCTCTGTGAGTTCGAGGCCAGCCTGGTCTACATGGTGAGTTCCAGGACAGCCAGGTTACAAAGTAAATCCCTGTCTTAAAAACAAAACCACTGGGGCATGAGTGGGACATTGAATTTAATTAAGAAAACGAGGGCACTGATATTCCAGTAAACTGACCGTAGCTATTCTAACGGAATAAGATGGGAAGCGGCTGTATCCAGGACAGGGACACGTGGTCTCTGAGACCCAAGAGTCGAAAGGAAAACTTAAGTTTTTGGTGGTCACAGAAGTTCCTCCTGTGGTTAGTGAGAGGTCGATTAAATGACAAAACGTTAAAACAGTTTCCTTGCAAGGACAGAGCTAAGCTATCCAGACATCTAAACAAAGTGCCTAGGGCAGAGGCTAGACCTTAGGAGGGCAGAGGCTAGACCTTAGGAGATGCACATAAAACAGGTCTGTGGTGGCTCCTCAAGCTGCGTATGTCCCATGATCCACCACGGCTTCCTCAGGTCCTTCCCAAGGTAGTCACCATGCCCTCCCCTCACAGTCTAATAAGGCACACTTTCCAGAAGTCATCATTTGGTGTCAGGACGATCATTTCAAGGTCAGCCTGGGCATAGCATATGTGAGTCTACCTAAGAAACCAACCAACCCCACGCCCTACCAAAAAACATACTGTTGAGCGTCCTGAGGAGGTTTTTTTTTTTTTTTAAGTAAATAAATATCATATTCTACCATGACTTAGGTCTGTGCACGTGGCTAAGTATTTGAAAACAGATGGTTCTTGCTTTAAAAGAACACTCGGTAGACATGAGGAAAGCAAGGTACGCAAGGGATAAAACAGGCTTCATGGACACTGGCTTTCCTTGACAGCAACATACGGGAGCAAGAGAGTAACGTTACTGAGTTACATAATTTTAAAACACTATATCCAAATCATCTCTCAAGAATAACTTTTCAAAAGTTACTTTATGCCTTCGAGTGTCGTTCCTGCATGTATGAACGTGCGCCGTGTGTCTAGTGCCCTCAGAGGCCAGAACACGGTGTTGGGTCCCTGGAACTGGAGCTAGAGATGGCTCAGACACCGAGTGGGACTGGGAGTCTCCTGCTGCTCCTCTGAAGACCAGCCAGTGCGCTTGGGCGCTGAGGAATCTCTCTAGTCACACCCAGCCATCTTAGCCTAGAGATTCCTAACTTCACAAGATGAGATGAACACATTTAAACCCTAATGCTTAGTTGGGGGGAGGGGGGCTTAGAGAGAGAGAGAGAGAGAGAGAGAGAGAGAGAGAGAGAGAGAGAGAGAGAGAGAGAGAGAGAGAGAGAGAGAGAACTTAAGCCCGGAGAGAAAAAGTCACAAGCCCAACCTAGACCACAGAGGGAGACCTTCAGTCTATACACTCAAGTGCCCCGCCCCCACCCCCACCCAATGAACTAAGTTTGGAAGGTGATGCTACCCGTTGCCTTACCTGCTTCAGCAGCTGAGACCAGGTATTCTAGAGGCTGTAATTGCTCAGCTCTCCCCTCCGTCTTGTACGACTTGATGGCATTGTAACTAGAAACATTAAACACAGGCAGTTTGGTTTGAGCACAAGGCATAAAGCAAACGTCCATCTCAAAGCATCATCTCCAAAGAAAGCCAACACCTGAAACCACGAGTTAAGACCTCACCGAAGAACGGAGATGCCGGAAACGGCTCACAGTGGCTTAAAGGAGGCACGCCTAGCAGTTGGGCCTGTGTAACACCCTAACTACACCGTCAGCGAATAACGGCAGCACCAGACACATACTCAGCAGTGGTGATCAGCTTTCGGGAGGACAAAGAGGTAAATACCCAGCAGACCCTTTAAGAGACCAACGAGGATGCTGGCATACCGACAGCCCCGACAAAGGAAGTGTCAACAACAGCGTGCTAAGGCATCGGAAACGACCGAGAGGGACCCCAGGAGTCCCCGTGTAGAGGTGGCTTTGAGCTGGCATGGAGACAGGCAGGGTTTCACCGTGGAAAGAGATACACCTGGGGGAAAGCGATAGCAGGTGATGGTTGCCACGATATGGAAAAGAGGCTGAGATTCGGGGCATCTGGCAGGAGGCAGCCACTGAACGTTTCTGGGCAGCAAAGATAAACCAGGCCGGCTTTTTGTTACTTGTATTGTGAATGAAAAGCTTTATTATGTGTAAGTGTGCACCCAGGCTGGTCTCAAACTCGCCATGAGCTAGAGATGACCTCGAACAAAACCACTAATAAATAACTGGTTTATTCACCCCTTTCTAGTCTGTTTCGCCTGTTAAAAGTGCACCGGAGTACTAATCCACTCACAGCATCCCAGAATTCCTGAAGAGATTGTACAGTGTCACTGTGAGTTAGAGCCAACAGTTTTTCCAATGGCTTTAACCAAAACAAAGGCCTCTAAACCTATCAAAAGATCCCATTGCCCAGCCGGACAATTCAACTTTCCTGAATACATTTCAGCGTAATGTTTTTTTTTATTTTTTGGTTTTTCAAGACTGGGTTTCCCTGTGTAGGTGTGGCTGTCCTGGAACTTGCTCTGTAGACTAGGCTGGCTTTGAACTGAGATCCACCTGCCTCTGCCTCCTGAGTGTTGGGACTAAAAGAGTGTGCCACCACCGCTGGCCCAAAGCAACGGTTTCCGTGAGGGTGTTTCTTCATCTCATCTGTTACCTTTGTCCCAGAACCGTCACTGATAACAGCTGGCAGAGGGAACGCTAACAAGCACTTTGCTTTCCAACACTTCCAATTAAGAAAACAGGGTTAGAGGACTCATTAGTCATGCGTGTGCAAAGGCAATAAGCAGAAGGCGTTCAAGCGAAGACTCCTTTGAATGCAAGAGCCCCCCAGATCTACTCACAAGAAAAAGTAGAGTCCCCAGGACAAACCCGCACCCCACACATTTGGGGTTACTCCTTGATAAAGTCCTCGTAGTCCTTCAGTTTTCCAGATGGTAGTCAAGCAATGCAGAATTCCTTGGTATTTCGGCCTCACTTCCAGTCCATCGCTCACTGCACGGAGGAACGCACAGGTGAACAGAAGCGCCGGCCGCGAATCACGCACAGACAGCACACACAGACACAGACAGCACACAATCCAATCCGGAAAGGAAACACGTTCACGAGAAAAAATCTCAGGTGCAAGAAACCGTTTTCAGGGTATTTAGTATTCCAAAACTAGTACTGCTATCATCTTACCAAAGTATCCAGCCAGAGCATACTAAAACCTCTAGTATTTCAGGAAGTAGCGCTTAAGTAACCCCAAACACTTGGATGTTTGGCACAGGCACTCAAGACTAGGAACTCAACACCACTCAGGGGCCAGAGAGATCGCCCAGTGGTTTGGAGCACTCCTCCGCCCTTGTGAGGACCTGGGTGTGATTCTCAGCTCCGACATGGAAGCTCCCAACTACCCTTAACTCCAGTTCTGAGGATCTGACACCCTAAAAAAGTAAATACAAAGCAATCAGCTGCTTCAGTTCTGTCAGCAAGATCTGAGGGGGAGCAGGCAAGGGACTTGGAGGGAGGGGCAGCAAACCCCTAACACTCTCTCTTTACCACCAGTCAGAATATAAAGTGCCGACGCATTCCACTTGAACGTTACTTTCTGAAATTGAACTAGCTTCCTCCGTCCTTCCCCAATGGCGCTACTATCTACGGAGATGCTCTGGAGAACCAGTCACCACCCCTTTCTTTCCCTTTAATTAAACAATCTTTTTTTTTTAAGTCCCCTTTTATCTCTTTATTCTACCACATAAAGATCTCTTGGATCAGACTATGTCTCAGAAAATGCTGCCATGTGTTTTTAGGCAGGATAAGTTTGGCATTTCTTTTTACTCTGCTCCTACAGGAAAGGAAAAATGCATTTGAAAATAGGATAATTTGGGGGAATCACTGTAGCTTAACAGGACTGCAGGAAAACAACATGGGACAATGCAGCTTCAACTATCGCTGTATTGTTTAAGGAGTGGCCTAATCCTGGAAGTAGAATTCTAAATCCAAGACTCTTTATTCACGTTCAAGCCCCGGTAAGCAGGGTCCACAGGGTTACTGGGGAGAGCCATTAAGGGCAAGACAGTTTTAAAGTAAAACTGCTGAACTCAAATCTCAGACTGGTATTTACTCAACTCCCACCATCATCATTTGCATAACGGGGACAATAAGTTCCTAGTAAACCTCAGTGAAGTTACTTGTCAATAGTCCTAACTGTTTACTGTAACAAATCATTTATAGATGCATATCAGACTCCATGGAATTATATGTCTTTCTGGTATCTTTTCCAGGATTATACGCCGCAAGTGCCACCTAATTTCCAAGGTAGAATGTCTTCCTGTCTCCTCTCTGGCTGCCAAAACAGTAATCCTGTTAAGAACTTTAATAGCCATGGAACCTTTACAGGTAAATACAAGCTACCCGCGTCTTTAAAACTATTTGCCTTTCTTGTTTTAAATTACCTACATGTGTCCCTCTGTAGGCATGAGCACGTGCGTGCAGACGCTAGCAGAGGCCAGAGGCGTTGGATTTCCCTGAAGCTGGAGCTGCATAGACACCTATGAGTCACCTGCTCAAAGTGGGTGCTGGGAACCCGGCGTGGGTCCTGTGGGAGCGCTCAGCCATCCTTCCAGCCCCGATTTTCTTTATGGATAGTCTCTTTGTACTCGCTACATACTTCGCTCTTGATTTTACTAAGTATTGAATTCTTACATAACTTAGGCTAATTGGATATTTAAGTCCCCTGGCAGCAACAAACTGTGGATACTTCTGTCGCTCGGACGCCGCTGGTTCAAACAGAAAGCCAACTGCGTAAAGTCAGAACTCTGCTAAAGCCATTTGCAAAGATTTGACTTTCAAGGAAAACCTTGGCTTGTAATAATTGGAACGGATAACAGAAAATGGTTTCTCGCAGTTACCAAAGGTCACCTTTTTAACTCATGTTGGCGGGCGCCAACTCCTAAGACGCGGAGCACTTAACCCACGCTCGCCAACAGTTGCGCGGGGCGAGCAGCAGCCCCTTTCCTTCGCTGGACAATGCGCACCATCACACACTGCAAGCTAAAGAAGCCTCGGGGGACGGTTTTGTCCCTTACTCTGTGCCCGCTCGGGCTCACGGCCCCGCACTCCCGTCAGTCTGACTTTGCACAGCCAGCACGTGGCGGCCCCCGGACTTCACCCGACCCGGTGGCTGCACGCACGAGGGTCAGGGGCGACAGTGCTTTCTCTGGGACGCCGCTCCCTTCCCCGCCCCTGAGGGAAGGCACGGTACCCGGGCTCACGGTGCACCCAGCATCGGCCCCCGGGGCGTGGGCGAGCCCTTACCGGCGAAGCGGATCTTCACCAGGTCCAGCGGGTGCAGCGCCAGGTTGGACAAGACGCCGCCGCTCACGCCCGCCACCAGGTTCTCGTACCGGACGTGGCGGAACACCGTGCTCCACGCCGCCGCCCCGGCCGCCGGCTGGCCCTGGCCTGTCATGGGCTCGGGGCCCGGCGGCACCACGGCGCTTAGCGCCGCCGACGTGGGGCGAGGAGCAGTGGCGGCCACCGTGGCGACTGTCGCGGCGGCCCGGGGCCAGGGATGCAGGACGCAAACCCACTTCCGGGACCGGAGCCCGCGACATCCACGAGCCGAGCCGAGCCGAGCCGCGGGGCGGAGCACGAGCCGAGCCGAGCCGAGCCGCGGGGCGGAGCATGAGCCGAGACGAGCCGAGCCGAGCCGCGGGTCGGAGCAGGAGCCGAGCCGAGCCCTCCTGGCCACGCCCACAGCCGCCCTTTGACGTCACGCGAGCGACCGCCGTAGGACGGCCTCTAATCCCGAGCGGATCGACTACGAAACGCGGCGGGGTCCAGCCGAGCTAAGCGGGCTGCTACGCGGCGGAGCCACGTGACCGGAAGAAGCCGGCGGAAGGCGGAAGTCGCGTGTCTGCGAGGCGGCCGGCTTGAGGCGAGCCCCGGGGCCGGAGGCTCGTGGAGTCGGAGACGCGGAGCCGCCACCATGAAGGTGAAGATGCTGAGCCGGAACCCGGACAACTACGTCCGCGAGACCAAGCTGGACATCCAAAGAGGTGAGGCCCGCACTTCCGGCGCCCGTGCGGGCGGCTGGGGGCGGGGCCGGCGCTGCGGTCCCGGCTTTCCCTGCCCGCCCGGGCCGCTCTGTGCACCCGGGGCTGCGGAGGAGCCGAGCTGCGGACGGCGGCGGCGGCTCTGCGTCGTTCCCCGGGAGAGTGGGGTCTGAGCCGAGCTCCTCGGGAGTCAAGGGTCCCGGACCCTGGGAGACCGGGCTGCCCCGCCACGGGCGCTGGGCCGCTTCTGATGGCGATCTCCTTCCGGAGGGGGAAGGGAGGACGGCGGAGACTGGATGACAGCTCCTCCCGAGAGCTTGAGGAGAGAGGGGTAGAAATGAAGTGGGTGGGTCTTGTCTCTCCCGATCTGCTCCCCCGGGGCATGCCGACCCCTCGTGGGTTGTTAGTTCTCGGTAACCTGCGTGGCAGGAGCCCAGGCTCGTGTGGACAGAGCGTTCTCGCCGAAGAGAGTAATAGAACTAGTTGGTTATATCTACTGTGGAGTGACGAGAGGGGGTGGTAGGAGAGGGAGCTGGGACGTTTCAGTCTTGGTTACTGGAGGTCGTCAACGTGTGTGTGTGTGTGTGTGTGAGCTTTGTTAAGATTTGTATGGTCTGTATGTGTGTGTGAGCTGTGCTAAGATGTGTATGGTCTGTGTGTGTGTGAGCTTTCCTAAGATGTGGTGTATGGTCTGTGTGTGTGTGTGTGAGCTTTGCTAAGAGGTGTGTGGTCTTTGCTCCCAAGTTAACAAGGTATTTCTTAAATGCAAATCAGATCTGTCTCTTGGATTTGACATTCTCTTGAGCCTTCGAAGCTCACTGGTCCTTCCTTCACCACTTTAACCAATCAATGAGCTGCTGGAAGAATCTTGCATTAGTTACCTTTGCCAGTATGGGTGCAATGCAGCCTTTGTCTTTGAGCTGTAGCTATGGGAAGCTTCCTCTCAGCCGTAATCTTTACATACTTAAACCCTGCTCGTGCCCTGCTGCATTTCAGTGCCAGTTCTGTATTTCCAGGGCATGTTTCTAGATTTCTGTCAGTGCTTATCAGGTTGTCTCATGGTTATATATATATTTTGATTAGCAGGCTTTTCTAGTAGACTGAGCTTGCAGAGAGGGGGGGAAATCATGTCCCTTGTATGCACTGTGTTTAGACAGTGAATCAGATAAATATCTGAATGAATGAGTGAGTGAGTGAATGGGTGACAGCCTGGGCACAGAATCTTATTCTAAGAGATACAGCCATTTTTGTTATTACCACCTTTTTTTTAAAGCAATAACTCTATTTTTATTTCATAATGGAAATGTTAATAGCAAAATGGGAAAATAGAATTTTTGGAGCACCATAAAACAAAACAAGAAATACATTTGCTATTTTTTATCTCAAAATACCCTCAGTAAAAGTCGATAAGATTAACGTTATTATTTTACTTGTGCTGTTTCCTTGTAAATTTTAAATACTGGGATAAGTACTGTTGAACCTTTTTTTTTTTTTGTTTTTCGAGACAGGGTTTCTCTGTGGCTTTGGAGACTGTCCTGGAACTCGCTCTGTAGACCAGGCTGGCGAACCTTTGTTTTTAAGATATCCATAATTCTGAAGTGGCTGGTTCATGTGTAGGAGCACCTTCCATGTGGTTTTACTGGGAGTTTTAAACTGTGGTGTCCTCCGAGCTCGAGGCGTGTGTCACATGTCACATTCGTGTTATTGTCTGCCATTGACTGGATGGTGAGGTTGGAGGTGGAGACAGTGATTGTGGTTTGAAGGCTTAAGGTGAATATATTAAGGGGTGCGTGAGGTTTGGATGGATTTAGATGAAAGTTAAGTCTTGATGGAAGGGATGCACAGAAAGAAAGTGTGAGGCAGTTTTAAATGACAGTGAGCACACCCGGTGAAGCCGATGAGACAGTGAGGCTAAGTTTTAGAACACCAGCGAGGGCTTGGAACTAATTCTCTACCTCTAAAAGTAGGTGTTACGAGTGTTATTACAATATGGGGAAAACAATTAGAATACCAGTGTGTATTTCCTATCTTAAACTTGGTGGTTCAAGCCTTCAATCTCAAAACTGAGACTGAGTTTGAGGACAGCTGGAGCTACACAGAGAATCCTGGTCTCAAAAAAACAAACAAGCCGGGTGTTGGTGGCGCATGCCTTTAATCCCAACACTCGGGAGGCAGAGGCAGGTGGATCTCTGAGTTCGAGGCCAGCCTGGTCTACACAGTGAGTTCCAGGACAGCCTCCAAAACAATACAGAGAAACCCTGTCTCAAAAAAAACCCAAATAAACAGAGGCAGAGGCAGGCAGATTTCTGTGAGTTCCAGGCTAGCCAGGGCTACATGGTGAGACCCTGTTTATAAACAAACAAGATCTTCTAGTTTTTATTTATGTAATATAATGAATTTACAATCTCATTTCAGCCAAATGCTAAGTATCCCGAGAAGAGTAGATTTGACAAGGGAGGACTTGCTTCTACCTTTAGAATACTGTAATATATTACAGTCTATATTATTGTGGGGTATAATAATTTGTAGAGTGAAGGGAAAGACTATAAAAATGTTTGTTCTTGAAGAAGTAGCTTGACTCTCTATGGGAGAGTTCTTGGAAGAACCTAACTTTGAGTTAAGTATTTTAGAAATTGTTAAGCTTTTCCCTAGTTATGGATATTAACTCAGATGTTTGTTTTTTTTTTTTAACTTTTGAAAGAAAATAAAGCATGTAATCTGTTCCAAGTCCCTTTTTCCCATTTACTTAATTTAGAAACAGGGTCTTACTGTAACTCTGGCTAGCCTGGAATTTTTCATATAGACCATATTGGCCTCAAACTCCTAGAGGTCCTCCTGCGTCTACCTCTGGAGCACAGGGATTAAAGGTGTGCAGCACCATGTTCAACTTTCCCAAGTCCATTTTAATGATAAATGAGGAAATTGCTTTCTAAAAAGTTGTGCTGTTCAGAAAAGACATGTTTGGAAATGTTTTCACTATTTTAAAACTCTTATTACTGAATGTGTTGTCTATAATGATGGATCTTGTCTTCATGAAAACACGTGGAAACAGCACGATATACCTTCTTTTAACTATTAAATATCAGTTAGCTGTAGGAGCCAGAGTAGATAGAACATTCCAAAACATACTTTGGAAGTAACTTTCAATAATCTGGTGGATATGACCAAAAAGTAAATATACCTAAATGGATATCGCCAGCTCTAAGCATCTTCTCTGTGGATCTGCTTGTTTTTATGAAGGACAGTCCTCACTTTGTCCAGTACCATGTTAACTATACCAGGGAGAGGTTCACAGGGACTGCAGTCACATGTATCAACCAAATGTTCCAGCAAGCTCTTGGTTATAGTATGTTAGCGTTCCATTAGCATGGCGCTGTGTGGAGGTCAGTACTGTGTGAGTGTGTTTGCATGTATTAACATGACACTGTGAGGTCAGTACTGTGTGAGTGTGTTTGCATGCATTAACATGACACTGTGTGGAGGTCAGTACTGTGTGAGTGTGTTTGCATGTATTAACATGACACTGTGTGGAGGTCAGTACTGTGTGAGTGTGTTTGCATGTATTAACATGACGCTGTGAGGTCAGTACTGTGTGTGTGTGTTTGCGTGTATTAACATGACACTGAGGTCAGTACTGTGTGAGTGTGTTTGCATGCATTAACATGACACTGTGAGGTCAGTACTGTGTGAGTGTGTTTGCATGTATTAACATGACGCTGTGTGGAGGTCAGTACTGTGTGAGTGTGTTTGCATGTATTAACATGACACTGTGAGGTCGGTACTGTGTGAGTGTGTTTGCATGCATTAACATGACACTGTGTGGAGGTCAGTACTGTGTGAGTGTGTTTGCATGTATTAACATGACGCTGTGAGGTCAGTACTGTGTGAGTGTGTTTGCATGTATTAGCATGACGCTGTGAGGTCGGTACTGTGTGAGTGTGTTTGCATGTATTAGCATGACGCTGTGAGGTCGGTACTGTGTGAGTGTGTTTGCATGTATTAACATGACACTGTGTGTCGCCATTAAAACCAGAAGTTGAAACACACAATTGGAGGTCTGATCCCTCTCAGGAGTCTTAATTGGAAACAAAATTTTAATGAAAAGCAAGCATCTTTAATGCATGCTTGTAGGAAATGTACCTGCTCAAAAGCCGTGTTACGGTGAGACACACAGTCTAATGTGGGGAGCCTTAAAAATGTAGTTATGGGAATGACATGTGCTTGATTAATGTGGTAGCAGTGCTGCTACCAGATCAAGTACAGGTGATGTTATGTCGTCGGGTACAGTGTGACGGGGCTGGCCCTGAGTTAGTACACGCATGGGAAGAGAAGGGTGACTGTTTCAGAGACGATGAGTGTTTGGGTTTGGGGACTGGAGACTGAAGATGGAATGACCAAGGTCTGAGTTCATTACTGCTGGATGTGAGATGCTGTTAGTCAGAGCACAGATAGCAGGGGGAGTCCAAGGGAAACACACTTACTGTTACATGTTGAATCTGGTTAGACAACAGTATGTTTGGCAGACTAGCTAAGAACATGGCTGATGGGCAGGTGACTAGTGTCTTTGGGCCTCAGTTTCACCAGCTATA